AATTCCACAATGCAAACCTTAATCATTCCACCTGGCAAAGCTAGAGTCCAATCCCCCTCACAGCATACAAGAACCGCTCTTCCTTTCCAGGGATTCCCAATTGACACCAGCCTGATAAACATGACACTCATCCAGACCCCAAATGTAACCATTGTCTTACATTGGGATGTCTATGTCACTCAACTTGCATTCTCAAATATCAACTGCTAAGTCATATCTGAGCTTTATGTTCCAGAGTCCCCCAGGGCAAACCCCCAGGAAGTTATGAACTGCTCTTTCTTACTGAAAGATACAGTGGCTGGGACTGCACTTAGCAAGAAGGTTCTTCTGTAGTCAAGCATGGTCCCAGTGAGCAGTTAGACACACAGGGGCAGGAAAGATGTGGGCCTGATTTATCAATCACCAGATAGTGGCATGGCAGTGCACAGAAGGGTTGTGGAAGATTCATGAGCTCAGGGTTTCAGAGGCAAGCTGAGAACAATGTGGTCTTCCTGCCTACACAGAACTGGATGAGGTTAGAATCCATTTGGAAAACGCATTCTCTTCACTGTGGAAGGGAAGGGTACACACTTGTAACACCTCTTGAATTGTTTTCTGTTTGTCCCCATGGAACATGAGAATGGTCAGGGCACAGTGGCTCATGCCTGTAATCCCAGCACTTTGGGAGGCCGAAGAGGGTGTATCCTCTGAGGTCAGGAGTTCAAGACCAGCCCACCCAAAATGGTGAAACCCTGTCTCTAGTGAAAATACAAAGAGTAGCTGGGAATGGTGATGTGTGCCTGTATTCTCAGCTACTCGGGAAGCTGAGGCAGGAGAATTGCTTGAACCTGGGAGGTGGCAGTTGCAGTGAGCCAAGATTGAGGCATTGCACCTCAGCCTGGGTGACAGAGTGAGACTCTGTCTCAAAAAAACAAATCAAAAAACAAACAAACAAACGAATCTGAGAATGGGTTGTCTTAAGTATTTTACAGAAGTGTAAATATAAGAGGAATAATGAGGTTTGGAGCACCCTCAATGAGCACTTTGGCCCTGGTGTCAGTTTATATCACTAGCAAGAGAAGAGGAAATACAAAAGGTGGGAAACTCCGATGGCAGCCCCAGTGCAAGCTTTTATGGAGAAAATATTAGTGATACTTTGTACCATGGGAATGTTATAGGCAAACATCCTACTGGATGTAAATTTGTTGTAGAAAACTGATAACCAAGAAACCACTTTCCAGTTTTAGTTGTACAAAGGCAGACGCTCAGGTCAAACTGATCTCCCAAGCAGTAACACACCGACGGGCAAAGGGGTGCTCTGCAGAGTGCACGAGGCTCCGGCGCTCAAGGCGGACACAGGCGCAGTCTAACCACTGTGAAATCAGCATCAAAAAGAAGACAAGTAGATTTGCTTTAAACAGCACGCGCTGAATGTCAAGGATTTTAAAGTTGGTACTTCATTGCGAACTGTTCTGCGGGCTCAATGGACTGCAGTGTAGGAGATGACAGGTTCCCTAAGAACGCATGCATTGCATTTATTATCCCTCACAGATATTGGAAAATTGAAAGTGCAAATTAAAATCTTTAGTATAAATTGAAATTAATTTACCCTTTCACGTGCTGGATACCTGCATACTGATTGTTTATTGTGTAATAAGCCTGGGGCGAATTGTGCGGCCACCTCATCTAATCAGTAACCGAGTTGTCGCTACTTTAACTCCATCTCTCTTTTCCATGTATCTCCCATATGGTCTGACAATTCATACTTTTCATAGTTTGGACCTTCACGGTTTCTATTTTTTATTGCCACAGTTACTTCCTACTTGGAAGATATGTATTAAAAGCTGGACCATGCCTTCCCAAGACACGCACATACATGCATTCGCACACATGTACCCACCCAGAAACACACACTTCTTTGCACTCACTCATTCATCCTACATTCTCCCGATGAAAACAAATGTGAAGCTGCTAGATAAACACCTAACATCAGAGCATTGTCTGAGCGTTGGATTGGATCCCTTTATGGCTCTCATTGGATTCAGGACCAAGTTTCCTAGCTGGTCAGAGAAGGAGCCCGCCGGTCTCTAGTTTTGCGTCCCACCTCTCCTGGCTGACCCCTCCCTATGTCCTGCATTGTGGCATGTGCTCCTGCCTCACCTGTTCTCACCACTTCCCCACCTGTATCCCCTCCCTCGCAGTTTCTCTGTCAGGCCAGGTTAGGGCTGGCTACAAAGACCGAGGCCAGTGACAGTGGCTTAGACAATGCAGAATCCATTATTCTCTCATAAAAATGGAGATCGGCACCTTTCCTGTAGCTCTAGCTGGATTTTCAGAGAGAATAAACTGAGCTCCAGCTCAGAATTTGACCTGGAAGCTGTCAGAACTTCCTTATACTCATTCTCCCCTTGTCGGTCTTTGAAAGAATCAGGGCTGTGATATCACCCTAATGGTATTGCAGAGAAAGAAGCAGGCAGCCTCATGAGGCTTTTTTGTTTGCTGCCTGTTTCTTCTGCTTGGAATTTCATAAAGGGAAAAGGAAAGGCCCCTGGTGAACAAGGCATGGAGAAGAATCCCTGCAAATGAAGAGAAGAGAGAGGACAGGACTGCAAGCCCACTTTAGGGTCTCCAGGCTGGGAGCCAGTCAGGGAGACACTATCTGGGTGGGGTGGCCAGAGGAGATGGGGTGGGCAGGGTGGCACTACAGCAGACAGCCTGTGCCATCACCTGTACCTGGGCATGCAAAAGCACCGTTCACTCTGCAGAGGTGCACAGTCCCCTGCACATGGAGAGCGATGTCCATGCCCCTGAGAGGCAAGCATATTCCCCGTACATGACTCAGGAGGGGTGCTGGCCCACCCACACTGCCCCATGGTCAAAGGAAAATGTCCCTGAAAATCATAAGGGCAGATGTGCTTGATGAAGACACATGGCCTTCCCATGGGGCTTCAGGGAACTGAGGTCTTCTCCTCTTGTGGCTGCCCCCCCTCATGCCCATCAGAGTCCTCCACAGGAGCCTGGACATCAGCTGATGGAGGAGAGTGTGCAGATGGCCACACAGGAAGTTCCATGAGCCAGGCTGTGAAGCAGCCAGCCCTCTGCTGACCATGCCCCTGTCGCCACCACCACCCTGAAGTCACCAGGAGCTGGGAAGTGTTGGCTAACTCTGTTCCCTGCAGAAAAAGGAGGTGACTCTGGACAACATCTCCTGTTTCCCCGCCATATGAGGGAAGTTCCCTTTCTCCTCCTCTTATTTTGAACAGACAGGACCCTAGAAAATGAAGATGGCAAATGGAGATGTTCAAAGAAATGTGTAGAATGTAGCAACAGAAAAACTGTAACCTCTGAATGAAAAGACATTTGGGAGAAAGAGAAGCTAACAGAATAGCAAAAGAAATAGTAACAAAGAAAGACGGACGTCTTTAAATTAGATTAAAATCCATAGATCTTATTTTATTAAGAAAAATTATATTAAGATAAACAATTTTGCTGACCTATTTAAGCTACGCTTCACAGATTAACCTATTTGATAAAAAACTACTTGGAGCCAAATCAAGGCTCTAGATATTTGCAAGTGAGTTCTCATGTATGTGGGCAGAGCAAATGCACGAAAACATGGACTAGAATGATTCCTTCCTGCAATCATTGTATTTTAACTTCTCCAGAATGCTGACAGAGCATTTCAGAATTGGGCAATTTAAAAGGATACATGGATTTTGCCCATTTCTTAATGATGCTTAAAATGATACAGAAAATGATGCAAAATCACTGGAAAGGCATACACACGTGAGCCCAGGCTGAGGGAAGCATAAAGTCTCCTGGCAGCCTGCACTGTGTTTAGTCATTGTGACCCTGCTGCCTTTGTCCACTAGGATGGCTTGAGTGGCTTGGGGCCACCACACATGTGGTTTGAGTTGTCTCCCACTGGGGGTGATGGATTTGAACTGATCCAGCCACGGTCTCCCACCCAGTCCCCCTTGTGGCCAAAGGCATGTGTTTGTGAGAGAGCTGGATATTGTCAGGAGTGAAAGGGGTGATCACGAAGCAGAGCAAAAAACAAAAACAGTCAGCGCAGCAGCGATTCCCAAGACCCTGGCCTTGTCCGTGGTGTGTTCTAACCAACCGTGCTAGGGCCTCTTTTGCCTGGAGCCTGAGAAAAGAGGCCACCACACAGGCCACTGGCAAGGTGACAACTGCAGCCACAAAGGCCTGCTGTTGCTGTAGAGAGACACAGCAAAACATATTCTCAGGGAAATGAGGGCTGCAGCTGAACGGGAAAGGAAAGTCAAACTTCGCTGCCGCATAACCCTGAAATTAACACTAAGTTCGCGTAAACATGACTTTCTGAAGCTTAGTCAGCTTTCGCTGATTTCTCAGGGCACTAAAGGCAGAAAAAGATCAATACCTTTGTTTGAAGTAACCCTATTCCAAACATTTCCGTACAATGGAAATTGTGTCTTCTTCTTGAAATAAAGGTGATAAATCTGTCAGAAAGTAACTCCACAAAAATCGCCAACCAAGTGGAATCCAGAATCTGCATAAAGTATACATATTTTTAACTATGTCAAACAAGATTTAAAAACAGCTTGACATTTCCTAAACATGTTCAAAGAAATCGTAATTTTGGCCCGAAGGGAGCAGATGGCTGCAAACACTGTAGGAACTTAGAGAGACCGAAGGAGGTTTAAAGCCATATTTGATAGCAAACTAAAGGAAGAAATCTTTCCTCCCCTTCTTCATCCTGGACTGTTTTCAAAATAGTGAATTATTTTATGAATATGCATTCCCCACTCAGAGCCATGGAGAAAGGCCAAGGGGGGACCTGCCAAGGCATGAGATTAGCAACACAGCCCAGTGAGATTTATTGCACATAAAAGATAGGGAAGTAAGACAACAGATTCCAAAGGAACAGATATTCTCATATAAATTAAGTGCTTTTAAAATTTAAGGTGCTCTTTTGGTAACATGTCTTAACATAATTAGGGCTAATTTAAAGATAAAACTTCATCCTCAAAAACAGCCATAATAAAAAATGTTTTATTGATAAACCATCTGCTGTTTACTAAGGCATGGTAAACCTCTGCAGATATCTCACCCAGATAGTTTTAAATAAACCGTGAGATCACTGTTACTGCTACACATGCTTGTAAGAACCTAATTCAGTATATTAACTGAAGTTATAGGGATCACCTGATAGTGTCTCGGCATCTATTGCTCAGGGACTCTGCATGCTAACAGAGCTCTGCTGAAACCTGAGACCCCAGACCCCAGGGAAGAAAGCACTGAAGAGGGCAAGCTCAACACATGTGACCGTTTTCTTCTCACAGTTTCTGGCAGAGTTCAGTAAGAAAAATCTGCATTTATCAGGTCCACAAGCAAGGAATGGTTTTACACCTTTAAATGTTTTCCTAAAGAATCAAAAGAAACATAATGTTTTGTGATACATGATTATTATGTAATATTCAAATTTCAAAGTCCATAAATATATTTTATTGGAACACAGCCATGCCCGTTCACTTATACATGGCTGTGGCTGCTTCCCCGCCAACTGCAGAGCTGCAGCAGAAACCACACTGCCCTTGAAGCTGAAAAATCTCATCATCCGGCCCATTGCAAGGAAGTAAAGCCTGGTGGCTGTTATAGGAGTGGAAGGTGAGCTGCCTGTGGTTCCTAACGACTATCTGGTCCCAGTGGAAGGGCTGCTCTGTCCTGACCTGTCCTTCTGCCTGAGGGAGCACCTCAAGGGGAACTCAGCAGGTGAGTTAGAACGGGGTCCAGTTAGAAGGGGGAAGAAAGCCAGGGGTGGAGGTTGTATTACCTGTGATGTGTTCCTATTGCAAAAACTACAAGGGCACTTACGTACTAAAGGTCAAGGAAGGAACCTCTTTCCTTATTTCCCCGGCATTTGATACAATTGCCAAAATAATATCAAACTTGCAAACCACAGAATTAGAACCTGTTGAGTCATGAAACCAAAAAGAAGGTTTGTCATACACGTCATATCAAGACAGAATTGTCCCGACACAGACCTGGGCTCTGAGGCTAAAATTGCAGGTGCAAGGTGGAATTAGCCAGCAAAAATTAGGAGGTAAAAGCACAGGTCACAAATCCTGAACACTCATTAAATACTGAAAATCACATAGATTCTCTGGTAGAGGTTCCTGCCGAATGGAAGGGAGTCACTGACCTCATTTGCTGTCAGGCGAGGTGACTGCTTACACTCCTCTTTGCATAGAAATCTCATTGTGGGCCGGACACGGTGGCTCATGCTTGTAATCCCAGCACTTTGGGAGGCCGAGGTGGGTGGATCACGAGGTCAACAGAGCGAGACCATCCTGGTCAACATGGTAAAACCCCGTCTCTACTAAAAATACAAAAAATTAGCTGGGCATGGTGGCGCGTGCCTGTAATCCCAGCTACTCAGGAGGCTGAGGCAGGAGAATTGCCTGAACCCAGGAGGTGGAGGTTGCGGTGAGCCGAGATCGCGCCATTGCACTCCAGCCTGGGTAACAAGAGCGAAACTCCATCTCAAAAAAAAAAGAAAAAAGAAATCTCATTGGAGTCCCAGTGAGGTCTGGGACAGATCTCAGGAACCACTGTGGGGGAAGCACAATTTCTAGAATGTACACTCCGCCCTCCCTGTAGGTCTGCGGGAGAGAAAGGACTGCTCAACCTATCTGCTTCACTGGCTCCCAGTCCCGGTAGTCTTGAGCAAAGCCAGTAGATTACAGACTCCAGGACAGCACCAGACCCTCCATCCCCTCCTGCTAGCACATGTACCCCAAACATACCTAAACTGAGAAGGAAACGATCATGGCAAGGAGAGAATGCATTCAGACCAGGCAGCTTTTGCTCTGGAACTCCTCACTGCGCAGTCTCTTTCTGGGATCAGGCAAGCCTTCTGCCTCAGCCTCCTGAGAAGATGGGATCACAGTCATGGACAATCATGCCCAGCTGTCTTTTTCCTTTTTGTAGAGATGAAGTCTTGTTCTGTTGCCTAGACTGGTGTCAAGCTCCTGGCTTTAAGTGATCTTCCCACTTTCACCTCGCAAAGCACTGGGATTACAGTCATGAGTTACTGTGCCCACCAGCTTTTACTCATGAATAATTTTCTTTGTATATAAATAAGCAAATGTGGGCCGTGGCAGTCAGTCTATTCCAACGCTGACTGCAGTGTGAAGAGGCTGTTTATCCTACTACCGGGTATTGAAGAGCAGGATTGCCCTTGATGGAAATGATAAGAAAGCCACTGTGAGTAGATGACCTTATCACACATTGGGGTGAAGGGTCAAAGCACTACTTCTCCATGAAAGGGAGGTTGAGTCAGGCAGGAGATCTGTATTAGTTCATTCTCATGTGCTATTAAGAACTGCCTGAGACTGGGTAAGTTGTACAGGAAAGGGGTATAATCTACTCACAGTTCCACAGGGTTGGGGTGGCCTCAGGAAACTTACAATCATGGCAGAAGCCACTTCTTCACAGGGCAGCAGAAGAGAGAACGAGTGCCAAACAAAGGAGAAAAGCCCCTTATGAAGCTATCAGATCCAGTGAGAATTCACTCACTATTGTGAGAACAGCATGGGGGTAATTGCATACATGATTCAATTACCTCCTATCAGGCCCTTCCCACGGCATGTGGGGATTATGGGAACTACAATTCAACATAAGGTTTGAATGGGGACACTTCCAAACAATGTTTTGCCCTTAGCCCCTCCCAAATCTCATGTCCTCACATTTCAAAACACAAATTCCTTTTGAGCAGTCCCCCAAAGTCTTAGTTCATTCCTGCATTAACCCAAAATTCCAAGTCTAAAGTCAAATCTGAGACAAAGCAAGTCCTTTCTGCTTCAGAGCCTATAACGTTGAAAGCAAGTCACTTACTACCTAGATACAATGAGGAGTACAAGCATCGAGTAAATATACCCATTCAAATGGGAGGAATTGGTGAAAACAGAGGGCTATATCCCCTGTGCAAGTCTGAAATCCAATAGGACAGTCATTAAACGTTAAAGTTCCAGAGTGATCTCCTTTGATTCCATGTCTCACATCCAGGTCATGCTGATGAAAGAAGCAGCTCCCAAGGCCTTGGGCAGCTCTGCCTCCATGGCTTTACAGGGTACAGCCCCCCTCCTGGCTGTTTTCATGGGCTAGCATTAAGCGTCTGTGGCTTTTCCAGGTGCCTGGTGCAAGCTGCTAATGGGTCTAATTTCCTGGGGTTCTGGAGGACAGTGGTCTTCTTGTCACAGCTTCACCAGGAAGTGCTCCAGGGGGACTCTGTGTGGGGCCTCCAGCCCCTCATTTCTCTTTCATACTGCCCTGGCAGAGGTTCTCCAAGAGGACTCCACCTCTGCAGCAAACTTCAGCCTGGACATCCAGACATTTTCATACATTCTCTGAAATCTAGGCAGAGGTTCTCAAACCTCAATTCTTGACTTCTGTGTGCCCACAGGCTCAACATCATATGGAAGGCTGTAGGGCTTGGGGCTTGCACCCTTTGAAGCAATGACCCAAGCTGTACCTTGACCTCTTTAAGCCACAACTGGAACTGAAGCAGCTGGGATGCAGGGCACCATGTCCTAAGGCAGCACAGAGCAACGGAGCCTTGGGCCCAGCCTGGGAAACCATCTCAACTATGCCTCTGACATTTGCTGGAGACTTTTCCCATTGTCTTGGCTATTAAAGTTTGGCTTCTCTTTACTTATGCAAATTTCTGCAAAAGCTTTAATTTCTCCTGAGAATATGAGGGTTTTTCTTTTGTATAGCATCATCAGGCTGCAAATTTATCAAACTTTTATGCTCTGCTTTTTTTTTTTTTGACACGGAGTTTTGCTCTTGTTACCCAGGCTGGAGTGCAATGGCACGATCTAGGCTCACCGCAACCTCTTCCTCCTGGGTTCAGGCAATTCTCCTGCCTCAGCCTCCTGAGTAGCTGTGATTACAGGCATGTGCCACCATGCCCAGCTAATTTTTTGTATTTTTAGTAGAGACGGGGTTTCACCATGTTGACCAGGATAGTCTCGATCTCCTGACCTCATGATCCACCCGCCTCGGCCTCCCAAAGTGCTGGGATCACAGGCGTGAGCCACCGCGCCCGGCCTGGTCTGCTTCTCTTTTAAACATAAGTTTTAGTTTCAGATCATCTCTCCCAAGTTCAAAGTTCCACAAATCTCTAGAGCGGGAGCAAAATACTGCAAGTCTCTTTGATAAAGTACATTGAGAGCCACCTTTGCTCCAGTTTCCATCAGGTTTCTCATCTTCATCTGAGATCACCTCAGCCTAGATTTTATTGCCAATATCACTATCAGCATTTTGGTCAAAAACATTCAACAAGTTTCTAGGAAGTTCCAAACTTTCCCACATCTTCCTGTCTTCTGGCCCCTCCAAGTCTCTTTCCATATTTTTCTGTCTTCCCCTGAGGCCTTCAAACTTTCCCACATTTTTCTGCCTTCTTCTGAGGCCTTCAGACTTTTTCAACTTCTGACTGTTTCCCAGCTCCAAAGTTGCTTTCACATTTTGGGTATCCCTGAAGCAGCACCCTACTCCCTCAGTATCAATTTACTGTATTAGTTCTTTCTCACGCTACTGTGAAGAAATACCCAAGACTGGGTAATTTATAAAGAAAAGAGGTTTAATTGACTCACAGTTCCACAGGGATAGGGAAGCCCCGGGAAACTTACAATAATGGCAGAAGACACTGCTTTGCAGGGCAGAAAGAGAGACAATGAGTCCTGAATAAAGGGGAAAGCCCCTTACAAAACCATTAGATCTCCTGAGAACTCACTCCCTACCGTGAGAACAGTACGGGGGTAACCACCCTCATGATTCAATTGCTTTTCACTGGGTCCCCCTTACACAATACATAAGGATTATGGGAACTATAGGTCGAGATGAGATTTGGGTGGGGACATCCCCAAACCATATCAAGGTCCTCATGGTCTTTCAAGCAGGGGGAAGAAGGAAAGGGGCCTGTCCTGATTCTGTTCCCGTGGAGCCTGGGAGCTATGGTTCTAGGATCAGAGAAAGAAGGAAGACACGGACCAGGAGAGAGAAATGAGCAAGACAAATGGGATCACCTCAGAGGCTCCATTCCATTGGCCATGGTAAGGGAGCCCAGGTAAGATTGCAAACTCCTTTCAGGCTCCAGAGTAGCTACCCCCGAGAAAGGAGCTGGGACCTGAATGCTTTGTGGTAACATTGTGTGCCAAATGTGAGAGAGATTTGAAGCTAAATATTCTATTTCTATTTATTCCTTGATTTAAAACATGTGGGGACAAAGAATGTGACCAGCTTGTGTACAATAGAAACACATGCCAAAGGATGACAGTTTGTATGACCCTGACACTTTTTCCTACCACAGCAATTAGTATTTGGTGGGGACCAGACACGCTGTGCCTGTCACTTTCAATATGGGTTAGCTAGTTAACATTTTAAAGTCCCAAACTTACCATGAGGTCACAATCCCCTGCTGTCAGTTACAGATGCTAAAGACCCAAGAGACATTCCTCTGCAGGGAGTCAGAATGATGGTGGGGCATTTTTCTCTCAATAGAAGATTGAATCTTCGTGATTCGTAATGGAGAAGGAGCACTGGGCTTATTTGTTTTCCTGTCCTCACCCTGACATCTCCTCCCCAGCCGGCAGCCAGCCCACCCTGGGTTGCCATGGACTCCAACCTCCTCCACGCCCCATCAGCCGGCAGTCACTGCCATCGTACAATGAGGGCTCAGTCCCCTGGGCTCCGTGCTGCCTGGCAGTCTCCATGAATCTGGCCTACAGAGTTGCAGGCTTTTTCTGGGCACTGGGCCTCGGTCTCAGGTTCAGCCAGAGTTAGTTCATGGCAGCTTTGAATTCAGATTCTAAGAGAAGCTTTGAGGACACTTCTGGTCAGCCAAGAGTTCCTCTTTGTTGGGGATTTGTGTTTTGGTCTGGAAGGGCATCCATAGTCTATTCCCTTCTGCTCCTGTGAAAAAAAGAGAGAAAGAGAGACATCAAGAGAGGAAGAAAGAAGAAGGAAAGAAAGAAATAAAAGAAGGAAGGAAGAAAAGAAGAAAGAGAGGGAAGGAGGAAGGAAGGGAAGGAGGGAGGAAAGAAGGGAGGGAGGGAAGGAGGAAAGAAGGGAGGGAGGGAGGGAGGGAGGAAATAAGGGAGGGAGGGAGGGAGGGAAGGAAGGGGCAATGCCAGTGTTTATTTTGGGTCTATGCACTGGGTCAAGTGAGAAGGGAGGTTTGAAATGGGAAAGGAAGACTGGAGCAAGCTGGCTCCACACCTTTGAATTTTTATTATGTTAGATTGTGATGCCTCCTCCCTTACCATTCCTTCCCATATTCTTCCTCAGATTTGCTTTTAAAATACAGACAAATGTCATTAAATTCTCCAACTCTCCATAGTACATCTTGTCCACATCTTTGCAATATACCAAGGAAGGAGTATTTTAAAAATTAGAACTAATTCACATCTGTGGTTTTATTAGCGTCATATTAATTTCTTCGGTTAAATCAACAACCAGAAAGCACCAAAGCTCAGGTGATGCTGAACCCTGTGAACCTGTGCCTTCCAGGCTGTAAAGCACAAGCGGATTATGGAATGAGTTCACATCGGATGTCAGCCTTTCCCCACAGGACAGCGCAGCAATGAAAGCAAAATAGTTAAGAACCTTGAATGCAACATACTTATAACATGTTTTTAATTTTCAAATTCTTAAAACCGAATCCTTTAATATTTCCAGATTTAAACTCAATTATCAAGTTGGGTAAACTGTTTACATGATAATATAGACCAGTTTTTGATCCTAAAAAAACCCCATGGCTTTACATGCCAGTAAGAATTGTGCTGTTGGGTGGTCTCTTTAAAGCCTAACATAGTATTAAGAGGAAAATTGTGCGATCTTTAGTGGGATTTTAACGTTGACAAGCATTTCTGCGTGAATCAGTTAGTAAGCTGTGAGTAGACCTTGACAAAAGGACAGAAACACAAGCTAAATCTATTAATAAAAAGACAAACCTGATTCCATGAACTATTTCATCTTTTGATTGGTCATAATACCAGTGTTCCATTCCAAGCTTCCCTCTGGTTCTACAACCCCGTGAAATTTAAGAAGTAGCTTTGTTAAGTGTTGGGCTCTCCCTGGGGTTTTTCAGGCTGACACCAACACTTCCCAACACACACACACTCCAAACAGATAATTAAACACAACAAAAGGGCCCAGCAGGCCATGATACATTTCACCAGCATGCATGGGGGAAGTGGGGCACAGGCAGGACGAGAGGGGCGATTCCCCAGATATGTTGGATGTAGATGGCACTTAATGGTTTCATGAGCATAAATGTAAAATTGCCCCCCCTCTGAGTCATTCTCTAAGAAACTGAAAGCCAGAGCACTGGTGTGAGATGATGTGTCATTCAACACACTCGTGAGGTGTCCCAATGCCAAGGAAATTTGCTATTTTATATTGCTTACTGCTACGAACTGTATTAATTTTTTATTAGACTACATTTTATATTTTCTTAGTAATTTTGCCCTCCATTTTATAGATCAAATATTTTGTTTTATTGCATTTTACATTCTACCCAGATGAACAACTCAGAAAGTATTATAGTAACATCATTCTCTGCACTCTAATTTTTATAGAGCTGAATAAATAGATCACTCATAAAGTTTTTTTATAAGTCATACATTTGAGTAGGCTGATAACTTATTGTGCCACAAGAAAGAGACACATTTTTAAGGCTTGTTTATAACACTGATAGCATAAATAAATGTATGAGAAAAATTTCTGCTTTCTATCAAGAAAGAGACCATTTTTACCCTCCTTCCTAAAGCAAACAAAAAGAAAGAGACAAAATATATGAAATCCACATTGTCAAAAATGGACATCAAGAAACAAAGGCTGTGATCCCTGAGAGATAAAAAAGCAAATGACGTGAGCTCTCCAAGTGTCCTAGCATAATGCCTTGAGGGAGTTCCCAGACGGGTAAAGGCAGCGGACCTGTCTGGAGACCGTCAGATTCTCTGAGCTGAGAAGAAGGTAGACTAATCCAGTGAGGCAAAGGCAGGTGGAAGCTACAGTGCAGAATACCAGAAAGAGATGGAACACAGAGAAAGCACTTCAGAGATCTCAACAAGGTCCCTGTGGAGTACTCAGCTGAGTACTCAAGAATAAACCCACGTGTGGAAACTTCTTGAAGCTGGGGAAAGAACCACCCAAACGGATGAGAGGAAAGAGTGCCAGAAACTTACACAGGGCTGAGGATAGTACTTGTTCCTCCCAGCCAGATAGGAAAAACTTAGAATTCATTGTGCATTGAGCATGTACATGTAAAGTTCTTGTCTAAGTCAGGAAGAATGATCAGCCCTACACCAGTGGTCTTCAATCTCGGCACCACTGATACTTGAGCCTGAATAATAATTTGCTGTGGGAACTTCGTCTGGTGCACTACAGGGTGCTTAGCAGCACCCACAGCATTGGCCCATCAGATGAAAAACCGTAAACCTTGCAGATGTTGCTGAGTGTCTGCTGGGTACAAAATTAACCCTGGTTGGAAACCACTGCTTTAGTCTGATCACTACTCTAGTTCTTATACAAAAAATCTTATAAACGAAGGCATGAGAGCTCAAACTGTTTTCAATAAAATTAATGGCATCCCAAGACAAAGCTCAAGGATATTCCTAAGAGAACAAAAATACCAGGACTTAACAAAGTCAAATGACAAAATCTTGCATTACATAAAAATTACCACATTTTCAGATAAAAGGGAAAACATGTTCCATAAAAAGAAAATAAACAATTGAAACTGACCCGGAACTAACACAGGGTTTAGAATTAGCAGATAGTTTTAAAAGTTATCATAAATGTACCTATGTTCAAAGTACTAAGTAGAAACATGAAAGGCATTTAAAAGATCCAAATCAACTTTTAGAGATGAAAAGCGTAATATGCGAGATTGTAATATGTGAGATTGTAAAATGCACTGGATAGGAATAATGGCAGATAAGAAGAAAAGACTAGGAAACTTGAAAACACATCACTGGAAACTAAATGAAACACGAGAAGAAAACTATGACTTAAAGACACATCCAAGCACTGGTGACCTCTGGAAAACATCTAAACAGAATAGTGTGTAAGTAATTAAAATCCCTGAAAGGAAAGAGTATGAACCGTAAGGAGGAAGAAGAGGAGAAAAAGGGAAGAAACAGTGGAAAGGAAAAGACAAAGTAGAAAGTAAAATAACCATATCTTTTTCTAATTTGCTAGAAACTAGAAACACACAGATTCAAAAACCTCGACAAAATGAGAATGAGAAGCATAAAGAAAACCATGTCAAGACATTTTATAAGGAAACTGCTCAAAACCAATGATAAAGAAAAAGACTTAGAAACAACGGGAGAGAAAACTGAGTACCGAGGAAGAACGTAGTTACGATGACAGCAGGTTTCTTTGGAGAAATGACACAGCCAGGAAGACGGTGGACCAGCATCGTTAAAGGACTGAACGGAAAAGCTGTTCGCCAACGGTTTCATACCCAGAGGAAAGATCTTTCAAAAGTAAAATGAAATAAAGACTTTCAGACATAAAAATCTGCGGAAATGCATTACCAATGGAACAGCACTACCAGAAATATTGTTTAAAGTTCTTCTGGGAGGCAGGAAATAACCAGATAGAAATGTGGATCTATGGAAAGAGAATGAGGAATACCAAAAATTTTAGCTACCTGGGAGATACATGAGACCATTCTGATTATTAAGTCCTCTCTTAGAGCACATTTAATAAAAGCTTTCATAAAATATAACGAGTGTAAACTTTAGAGCAAATATGCATTTAAAGTATATGGCAAAACTAGCACCCAAATCAGAAGGAACAAAGGAAAGTCTACTATTGTAAGTTCCTTATGCTATACGTGAAATGTATGTACAAAACATGACTTGAATGTAGACTGCCATAAATTAGAAATTCATATTATTAAACAAAATACAACCCCACCAAAGTAACAAAACAAGGTGTTACAGAGAATAAAAAAATATTGATATAAAATGAAATCATAAATATGTTAAATTATTTCAAAAGATGATATAAAACCAAAAAAGGAAATGAAAAGCAAGTGGGACAAATGAAATACAAATGACAAGTTGGTCAATTTATACCTAAAGAGATCAATATTCATAGTAATTGTAAATGACCTGAATGCACCCATTAGAAAGCAGAGGTAATCATACTAAAGAAAAAGTCTAAACTCAAATACATATTGACTACAGAAACACACTTCAATCATAAGTACACAGATAGGTTAAACAATTTTTTGAAGTGTTATATCATTCTAACACTAATCCAAAAATGCCAGAAGTCTCTATTAATTTCAAGCCAAGTATATTTCAGTGCAAAGAATATTACCATCAGTAAAAAAGGTCATTCCATTATGGTAAAGTTGTCAATTTACCAAGTGGATGTAGAATCATAAACAGGTATGCACACAGTGAGAGCTTCAAAATACACAGAGCAAAAACAAATAGAACTGCAAATAGAAAAGGAGGAATCAGTAGACATCGCTGGAGATTTCAGTATCTTCACTCAACAATTAAGAGAACATGTGAACAGAAAGTCTCCTGCCTAATACCTATTAAACGGAGTCAATTTGTAGCTTGTCACCTCCCTTCAGTGATTATATCAGAGACAGCTGGCTTCACTAGTAAATTTCACTAACAGTAACGAAAGAAAGTATCCTATTTATACAGAAACTCAACTAGAAAACTAAAGAGCTTTCTCTTTCTGTGAACTGACATTATCCTGACTTTAAAAAAAAAAAAGTTAATGACGTTATAAGAAGAGAAAACTACAGACTTCAGGACACGTTAGAACAAAAGTCCTAAGCTGATCTCACCAATTAAATCCAACATTTAAAAATACATCATGATCGAGTGAGCAAGTGAGGTTTATCCCAGGAATACAAGGTGAGTTTAATATTCCAAAATAATTGTGACAAACTGAAAGTGAAAAGTCCCACGAACATCTGAGCAAAAGTAGAAAAAGCATTTCACAAAACCCAGCACCCATTTTTTTCATAAAAGCTTTCCGCAAACTAGGAATAGAAGGTGTCTTCCTCACCCTGAATATGTGTTTAAAAAAAAAATATATATGTGACCAGTAATATCACAGTTATGATGACAGATTAAACGCTTTTCCATTAAAATCAGCAGTAAGATGTGAATGTCTTCCACTGCTGATTGGAGTATAAAATGGTGTGACCCTTTTGGAAAATAATTTTTCTCTTTTTTAAAAAGTTAAATCTGTACCTACCATATGATCCAGTTGCTCCACTCCTAGACATTTACTCAAGATAAATGAGTACATAAGCAATACAAATCCTTGTAAACACACATTCACGGCTGCTTAACCCAAAAGTGAAAGCATCCCAAATGTCTATCAACAGGCAAATGGATAAAGAAGCTGGGTACAGCCGCACTGTGGAACACCACACAGCCGTGCAAGGAATGAGCAATTGATGCACACAACGACTTTAATGTGTCTCAAAATAGTTATGCTGAGTGAATGAATCAAGAAAATAAGTACATAGCGCATTATTCCATTTCTATAAATTCTAAAGAAAATAAACTAATCCACAGTGACAGGCAGAAAGCACGTCAGTGGTTCCTCAGGCTTGGGGCGGGGGCTGAAGGATGCCTGCGGCAATTCATAGAGGTCAGGGTTTTCAGCCGAGAGCTCACCTTCTAAAGAAGAAACAGAGTACTTCCTCTAGATGGAAACATGTAAAATCAGATTTAAAAAGGGAGCTTTTGTTTTTATGTGCAAAGTCCAACTTATTCTTGAAAATGTCCTGGAAGCCGTGGTGCCAGTTTACAGCCTCCTGTTTCAGAAAAGCACGGTTTCTGGTAAGGAAGGACAGAGCAGTGGAGCTGAACAGCAGGCGCTTAGTAGCTATATCCGTGGCTAGGAGAGTGACTTGAGCTTCACAGTAAGACTCGAATCTGAAGAAGCAGTTCCAAGTGTGTAATAGAATGGTGGAGGGCAAATTAGTATCTACCTCTCAGAACTAAATCCAGGATCCGGCAGCCCCCACAGAGTGCTCTGGGAAAAAGGACAATAATATTTTCTTGTGCATTTTAAAAGCAATAGACAGTTCTAAAATTGTCAAAGTCGGTGGGGACATAAACCTAGCTAGGGCCAATGATTCTCTCTTCAACTGTGAAAAACTGTAACTCGAGAGAGCAGAGAGGGTAAAAAAGGAAGTGCATCCCGGCGGTTGCACAGGGTGTGGAATATGTCCTTATCGTAGCTGTTTACCTCACAATGAAACATGAATACAGATTCCTTAGACACAGTAATTAATGGGTCACATATGCAACACTGGACCAGACTAGCCTCTCGGGTGGCTCTAAATATGACAAAATGTCAAAGCCCATTAATGGTCACATTTAGGATCTCAGTTGCTGCCCAGCTGGGACGATGAGAGCATTCCCCACGGAGGAGTATCATCCTCAGCCCGGAAACAAAGACACTCTGCCTTTCCCAGAGTGTCTGGTCATGTACTGAAACTTCTGGAGACAGGAGACTGAGATAAATTGACTATGTTATCCATGATTCATAAAAAAAACAGTGCCAGAGTCTTGAATAAACCTCCATGTTATTAGATAAACTGATGCATCCATCATCGGAGAGATTAGCTAAGCTTTGATAATAGTGGCTGGACTTGGTTTTGCATTTTTTTTCTATACAACCGAAAATAATTCTTGAAGCGAGAGTGGCTTTAATGCTTTCATGTGAGAAATGCGATGATTTCTGTGTGGTTAGAAAGGGAGCTGCCTCTGTGTTCTCTGTTTCTGCATCTGTGCTTCAGTCTGACCCGATCAGACATTTCTCTCCGGTGATAGATTCCACAGGGCTGAACAGACAGCCTCGAGCTCAATTCCGTGGACAAGGCCACATTTGTGGCTAGGCACATTTTCTTTCACGGACAAAAGAATTTGGTTAGCAGAAGGAAAAAATAGAATTTCCTTACATACGCACGACATACACACACACACAAAACACACACACACGTGTGCGCACACATGTACACATTAGAAATGTTGGGAACATGAAAACACCCTTCTTAGTCTCTTTTCTGCCTAGTGGCTTTGGATTGTTGCTCCGTAGGATGCAATATGATCCATCATAATCAATAATCACAACACCTGAAATGCTAACACCCGAATTGCCTTTATTTACCTCTGAATGAAAAATAGATGCCTCACCCGCGGAAGCAAGTACTGTCCAGGGACCCAGCCCTGACTGCAGGTCCCATGATTGATTGCTTATAGGCTCCTGGCAAAGCAGGATCCCTCCATTTCAACAGGCCGGGACCCTGACCTTCATTCATTTGCTCAGCCTGCCGGCACCAATTGTGTAGGAACGTATTATGTGCCAGCCACTGGGATGTAGTTTGAGCAAGACTGGTGAGGATGGTCCTTGTATGGAGTCACATTCTTGTAGGGAGAGAGATAGCAAATAAATAAACATATAAACACTGCAGTGATGCAAATACAGACTGGCAGTACACACTGTGCAGAGACTTTCCTGAGGTTATATGGGGCACTTGGGGAACTGTCACCCACTGGGTAGCCAGGAGGTGCCAACGGAGCTTAGGTTTGAATGGTGTGATGGTGTCAACGCAGAAGCCACAGGTGGATGGTGGACAGAGGAACATTTCTGGTGGGGAACAGGCACGTAGTAATCCCCTCCTGTGCGTTTGGGTGGATCTGTGACTTGACTTCAGACAACAGAATGTGACCAAGGTGACAGAATGACAATTCATGATTGTATTTTATTATAGAAGAAGCCATCGTAGCAGGCTTACGCAGGAGACTTTCATACAGGCCTTGTAGAAGCAAGTCACTGTTTGAGAAGACCAAACAGTGGAGAGGACCACATCCAGGAAGCTGTGGGGGCTTTTAGATGCTCAGAGCAGCTCCTGAAAAACTGCCATCACTGAAGCAGGGACCTCTGTTCTGTCAATTTTCATGCAAGCTTGGAAAAGGATCGCTGTGAGACCCAGATGCAGGTCCTGCCAAGGGCTGGACTGAAAGCAGTGTGTGATGCTTGGTTTAACACTCATCTTGAGAATATAAAACACTGAATCTCAAGCTCGAGAGACAGAGGGAATTCCTCTGGGAAAAGATGTTGGAGAAATGTTGTTTTTTCCCTAAGCATGCCTTCAACCTCTAGATGCTGGATTCCTACCCACACCCAGGGTCCTGTAGAAAACACGGAGATTAAGTCCTCAACAACTCCTGGCCTAGGAGGAGAGAGAAACTGCACAGGATCCATGAGAGCTTAAGGTTGAAACGCAAAAGTACCATAAAAAAGTAAAATATCAGGGCGGGCGCCTAAGAGGATGGGGGTTCCCCTGTAGGAAGGGCGACCTCACAGGCTTGGCAGAGGAGATGCCCACCTGAAATGCATTTGCAGGGCAGGCAGAGCGGGCTCAGAGAACAAGAGCAGAGCACTTCTGAAACTGGAATTGAGGAGAGAGAAGTCACCAGGATGGAAGAAGAAGCGTAGTCAGCAGCCAGGTTCTGTGGTGGTTAATTTCACGTGCCAACTTCACCAGGTCGCGAGATGCACGGATATTTGGCCAAGCATTGTTCTAGGTGTGTCTGTGAGCGTGTTTCCAGAGGAGATCGGCATTTCAATCTGCGAACAGAGTAAAGGGGACAGGCCTTACCCAATCCACTGAGGCCCTGAATAGAGCAAAAAAGCAGAGGAAGGGAGAGTTCAACATCTCTACCTGACTGCATGAGCTGGGTTATGTGTCTTTTCCTGCCCTCGGACTCTCAGACTCGGACTTACACCATCAGCACTCCTGGAGTTCTGTCCTTCGGATTAGGATTGGAATCATAGTACCCACGTCCTTGGGTCTTAGCTTGCAGACAACATACTGTGAGATTCCTAGCCCCTGTTAATTATGTGCAACACTTTCTTATGATCTCTCTCTCTCTCTCAATAAATAAATAAATGAACAGTAAACAGATAGACACACACATACACTATTGGTTCTGTCTGCTTCTCTGGCAAAGCCTGGCTAACACAGGGCCCATGGGAAGAAGGTAGGAGTGGAGACTGAATGGCAGATGGAGACAGGAGCTCCAGGCCTTGACCTCCGGGCTGAGTTAACTTGCGATCAGGGCAGTGGCCTCCAAAGCCACAGCATGGAGGTGAGGCATAGCTGGGACCCTCCCCTGATGATGGTTCTGCTTCGCTGATAAGGATGGGTTTGGAGTAGTGACGGGCAAGATGCGTAAAGGAAAGAGGGAGAGGAGCTCACCGCTTGCCCTGCACCCTGAACCCCGGTGGCTACAGACATCCAGGTGGTGAGCCACAACAGCAAAGAGAAATGAAGAGAATCGGAACTGCGAAGAGCAGCCGCAACTGTAGACGCAGATTCATGAGTCATCTCGTCCAGACAGATAAGTGGAACCATTCATTCTGTAATGCACAGCCCAGTGGGGGTGTGCTGTAAGCATCATGACTGTGGGCACTACTGATATCAGTTTCCAGACCCTTTTTGAGAAAAGCAGGAAAAGGAGAGCTCTGCAGAACAAGAGCAGTGTGTGTGCTGATGTGATGTGGCGACTTGGCTCAGCTCATCATTTAGTTCTGGGGCAATTTGAATTCCAGGGATAGGATGTCTTGATAATGATCACCTGGTAAAGGCAACATTTATGCTAAGAGTTTCATCTTAAATTCTGACGTATGTTTTTAAAAAATCCGGATGGCTCAAGTCTGTAATCCCAGCACTTTGGGAGGCTGAGGCAGGTGGATCACAAGGTCAAGATATCGAGACCATCCTGGTCAACATGGTGAAACCCTGTCTCTACTAAAGATACAAAAAATTAGCTGGGCATGGTGGCACGTGCCTGTAATCCCAGCTACTCAGGAGGCTGAGGCAGGAGAATTGCCTGAACCCAGGAGGCGGAGGTTGCAGTGACCAGAGATCATGCCATTGCACTCCAGCCTGGGTAACAAGAGCGAAACTCCATCTCAAAAAAAAAAAAAAAAAAAAATCCAGAGTTACAGGGCTGCAACAATTCCATCTGCATGACGAATGGTATGAGATGTGACATTCTAAGTCACAGCCCTGTTCCCTGGGCCGACCCTTGTGACTGATTATCCTTTCCCAGTAAATATGAGTAGACGGCATCAGGAGTTAATTAGGCTGCCTTAAGAGGTGATGCTGGGACATACGTTCTACTTATCAGGATGGGGCTGTTGTTTTCGCTTGCACTGCAGACCGTGACCCTCTGAGCAAAGAAACCCAATGAGATTAACTTGTAACTGTTTAATAGCACATGTGTTTTTAAAGCCAGTCTGCAACAATGATTCATTGATTGGTCATTGAGGATAAGTGTATGGCCACTACTGCCACATCTGCGCACTTACTGGCTGGGGTCTATTGCTTGTTCACACTCATGAGGAGGTGTGGAAAGCAGAGTAAACCCAGTGGTGAAGACCAGTGATATTGTTAGGCAGGAAGCTGAAGATAATGTCAGACTTTAGGAAAGCACTCTGCCGTCCGTAGCGTGAGGAATCTGGGTGAGCCGGTCAGGTGTGAACTGCAGAGTCAAATGCTACAGATATGTATCTGGTGTACCGATGTGTACAATAATAAAACTACATTTCTAATCAACGTTTGTGTTGTTACCATTAAATGTATTTAGCATAAGAAACTTTCTGAGATACATTAAATAGAAAAAAAGATATGGAATACTCCAGTGACTTTCGGAAACTGATGGTCATTGCTGCTTCTACCAGGAACTGTTGCCCTTTTGTTTTCCCGAGGTCTTGGCTTGAGTCAAAGGCTTATAATTTTCAAGACCGTCATGCATTCTGCTTTTAGATGTTCCTGGCAGAAGCCTCACCTGATGGGGCAAAGCTCTGAGCTCTGAAACAGCTTTGGTACTCTTATGAGAGGGCTCTAGGGATAAATTTCTGTACTGGAAGCCTGGATGGGTGGCCATGAGTAGAGAGGACCCACACTAGTATGTCCTGGAGAAGGATATACCTTGCCTATGACATCTGTGTGGTGGCAGTCAATGTCTTGGCAATGAGAAAAGTGTGAAAATGAAGAAACAGCAGGGCTATGATGCAAGCTGAGAACATAGCTTTGCGTGGCTTCATGCCCTCAGCAGAGCATCTGCTTTGCTCTCCTCCCACTGTGATGTCACAGCAACTGGTATCTATGGGTCAGTTTCACAGGTTGATGGGGTTGCATTTTAAGATGATATAACATCTCCCAAGAAAGCTGCCCAGTGACCAGGGTTTCTGTTGTGTTTCACGTTGCCCTTCTGCTCCTCTGCTCTGCTAAATTGCTTTATATGAGAACCACATCAGTGCCAATGTGTAGCCATGATGCACTGGTGTGAGCCTTCACTCCTGTGTAGCCACGATGCATCGGCGTGAGCCTTGGCTCCTGTGTAGCCATGATACAGTGGTGTGAGCCTTCACTCCTGTGTAGCCACGATGCATCGGTGTGAGCCTTGGCTCCTATGTAGCCATGATACAGTGGTGTGAGCCTTCACTCCTGTGTAGCCATGATGCACTGGTGTGAGCCTTCACTCCTGTGTAGCCACAATGCATCAGCGTGAGCCTTCACTCCTGTGTAGCCACGATGCAGTGGTGTGAGCCTTCCCTCCTGTGTAGCCATGATGCATCAGCGTGAGCCTTCGCTCCTGTGTAGCCATGATGCAGTGGTGTGAGCCTTCGCTCCTGTGTAGCCACGATGCGTCGGCGTGAGCCTTGGCTCCTGTGTAGCCATGATACAGTGGTGTGAGCCTTCACTCCTGTGTAGCCACGATGCAGTGGTGTGAGCCTTCGCTCCTGTGTAGCCATGATGCATCAGCGTGAGCCTTGGCTCCTGTGTAGCCACGATACAGTGGTGTGAGCCTTCACTCCTGTGTAGCCATGATGCATCGGTGTGAGCCTTCACTCCTGTGTAGCCATGATGCATCGGTGTGAGCCTTCACTCCTGTGTAGCCACGATGCATCGGCGTGAGCCTTGGCTCCTGTGTAGCCATGATACAGTGGTGTGAGCCTTCACTCCTGTGTAGCCACAATGCATCAGCGTGAGCCTTCACTCCTGTGTAGCCACGATGCAGTGGTGTGAGCCTTCACTCCTGTGTAGCCATGATGCAGTGGTGTGAGCCTTCGCTCCTGTGTAGCCACGATGCAGTGGTGTGAGCCTTCGCTCCTGTGTAGCCACGATGCAGTGGTGTGAGCCTTCACTCCTGTGTAGCCACGATGCATCGGCGTGAGCCTTCACTCCTGTGTAGCCACGATGCAGTGGTGTGAGCCTTCGCTCCTGTGTAGCCATGATGCATCAGCGTGAGCCTTCGCTCCTGTGTAGCCATGATACAGTGGTGTGAGCCTTCGCTCCTGTAGCCATGATACAGTGGTGTGAGCCTTGGCTCCTGTGTAGCCATGATGCAGTGGTGTGAGCCTTGGCTCCTGTGTAGCCACGATGCAGTGGTGTGAGCCTTGGCTCCTGTGTAGCCACGATACAGTGGTGTGAGCCTTCCCTCCTATGTAGCCATGATGCATCAGCGTGAGCCTTGGCTCCTGTGTAGCCATGATACAGTGGTGTGAGCGTTCACTCCTGTGTAGCCACGATACAGTGGTGTGAGCCTTCCCTCCTATGTAGCCATGATGCATCAGCGTGAGCCTTGGCTCCTGTGTAGCCATGATGCAGTGGTGTGAGCCTTGGCTCCTGTGTAGCCACGATGCAGTGGTGTGAGCCTTGGCTCCTGTGTAGCCACGATGCATCAGCGTGAGCCTTGGCTCCTGTGTAGCCATGATACAGTGGTGTGAGCCTTCACTCCTGTGTAGCCATGATGCATCAGTGTGAGCCTTCGCTCCTGTGTAGCCATGATACAGTGCTGTGAGCCTTTGCTCCTGAGGCAACCTGCTATTAGCTATGGTATTACCAAGAGTAATTCTTTCCAGCATGATTTTATGGATCTTGCTGCATAAGACTAAGCCACTGGGGATGCAGACACACTTTAGCAATAGGCTCTCCCTATGGCAGCAGCCCAGAGGACCAGTGGCCAATTCTGTCATTTCAAATATCTTTCCAATCATTAACTTTGAGTGGTGAAATCAACTATAATTATGGAAATGATACAGGTGATGTATCTATGAATTTGACAAGCTTTTATTTTAGTAAAAAATCTTAGAGCTTTGCTCATAATCCTCTGCATGCTGTTTGTACAACATAGAGTAGTGTTGGGAAATGTAAGTTTCAAACATGCTCAGTACCACTCATGGCTCAGGGGCATACACTGGGAAGATTAAGTGGTTTTGATCTTTAAGATGAAACCTGGGAAAAGGCATATTTTTGATATGGTGTAGAGGTCCAGAGACCTCTCTAGAAAGTGTTTTGCATCCCTTTATGTTCCCTGACACTCAGGCTCTCTTTTGGACAATGAGGAAAGACAGACACGGTGCTAACAACTGGGCTTTGCCAGATACATTAATAGATAAGTAGGAAACTCAGAATTCCAGAGTCTCTGAGACCATGAAGAGACTGCGTGTCCCCACTTAAAGTAGGGATGAAAAAATCTTCCAAAGCCCACACCCTCCAAGCCTGCTGGCTTCTCACCCTGTGTTTTTCTCGTTCCTCCCGTCACTCTCCGTAGAGC